TCCTTACACAAGCTACCACTGCTAAATCCTAACTGACTAAATTGTATTTTAGTTTAATATAGTTTGAAACCTAGTAATTTCCATCGAAGTTTACATCAGTTTGGAAGTGGTTCTGATAAGGTTTCCAATCAGCTAGTTGAAAACCAGTCTATTTATAACATGCATTATGTATTCTGAAATATACTACATCTATATATAGTATACTTGTCTCAACCTTACGCAAGGAGTACCAACTCTAATCCAAAACCGTCTCGAAACCGTCTGCACATAACAAAATAAGTATCGTATATATTTGAGACTATTAGGATTCATGTTAGTGCAGCGTTGATAAACTATAAGATTTGAGAGCACGCGCGTATGATGGATCACTACACAGTCAACCGTATAACGAAAAGGTTCTTACCATCAACCATCAAAGGTTGCTTAGTAGGACATAATGCAGATAAGTTTGATATACCAGTACTCATTAGTAAGTGCTGCAGCGAAGAGACCTTCTCCAATACAGGCTGGCCAGCCTGGTTGAATTGTTATTTAGACGCAGTGAAAGTCGCTAGAGCCTTACCTGCACTGAGAGACAAAAACACAGGTGTAGTTATGTTTGGCCGTAGTCTTGCATCACTACATAGAGCCTTTACCGGTGAAGCGATTGAAGATGCCCATAATGCAGTAGCAGATGTGAAAGCCCCTTGTGAGAGTTATGTAAAGTTTAGCCAAGCTTCCTTCGTGTGACATATATAGTTCGATAGGACCATTGCAGAAGCTTATGCTTCGTATCAAATTTATAAGGGATATTAAGTGTCTAGGCTATGTCAATTCTAGTGAAGAAGAGTTTAGCAAATCAATATCGGACTCAGATTCAATAGAAGAAAATATTTTGCCTAAAGTTGTACCCCAAGTGGAGTTATGCGTTGGGAGATACGTGAAAGAAATGAGTCTACGAAACCACTATTCACAGGTCCAGTAACAGGTGTGCTGATGGGTCACGACATATCATCCCGTCGGACACAGGCATCTCTAGCTAGAGAATTCTTAACACCTGCTTCTGTGTATATATATTTTCACGAGAACATTGAACCACTAATACTCAAGTACACTAGCGTATACGGAAGAAACTATAAGGAGCCATGGAAAGAGTTAGAGAGCGACGAATATAGAAGATTCATTGCTTTGATGATCGCCTTCGGTATAATCAAACGTGAATCAAATGCATCTGTCTTGGAACAGACAAAAAGTCTAACAGAAGAGATTTTCCCAGATGCAAGGCGCTTCTAGGACATCCAACGATTCCTGAACACTTGTGACAATAGTGAAGGGCCACAGAGGGGTGATGCAAGTTATTGTGCCGATCGAAAGTGTTAGAGGTGTATGATATTATGAATAATACATTCCAGAGGTGATATAGTCCATGACAAGCATTGTCCATGAACGAGTTTAGTGTGCAAGCCGAACATCGCATATCTTTAGGTCTGTAGCAGTCACTGAAACACTAACCCGGCCGTGATAAGTTTGGGTGCAAGTTGTACGCAATATGCGAAGGCAAAGACTGAATATCTCCTGTCAAGTATAATAGCATAAAGTAACACGCATGTAGATTTAGAATTTTCATATTTTCTGAAGACAGAAGCAATTGTGTTACGATATAACCATACTTCAACAAGAATCATCCTCAGTTATGCATGCTGACTATACCAAAGTAAGGTTTGCACTATATAGGCACAAGTCAATGGCGTAGGAAATGAATGCAACAGACGTCTTTTTAAAATTGGGACAAAATGGCAAAACATTCCGCAGTGCATATATATAGTCCCATGGGATTATATTTTGACATGTGGCATGACAATAAGGTATTCGCTCTAGTATTATCATTCCAAGGAAGTGAAAATAACTCTCGTAAGTGCACACCAACCTGTGAGTCGGCCTACCGATATTGGATAATACTATAAAAGTCATTTGGATGGAGTGGATAACTTCGACAAAAGAAAAGGGTAATACAACGGTGTTGGTTTCAAACAAAGCCGCAGAAATTGGCTGCCCACCTGATTGATTTAATGATTGAGAACTCAGCAAAAACTTGTCGCCATGAGGGTTTAGAGAATCTCTAGTTGATTCTCCCGGGCGTGATATCTTGAGTAAGCATATTGATACGATTCTCTTCAGTGAAGGCCATGTATATGTTGGGTACAACTTGACGGTCTGGAATCCCAAGAAGAAGTGTAAGGAAACTGTACGAGGACGTTGTCACGTATTACTCTAGATCAAAGAAAGATACAAAGTATTCCAAGTAGTGTGGTCACGTAGAATGCCATATGTACTTCTGTTCCATCGAGTGCTTTCAAGAACATCATTTGGATCCGGCTCAACAAACGACGACGGCGCTCTGACAAACCATTGGAATAGCTTTAGCTGTATATCAATAAAGGTGCAATATATGGACTCACACAAGCATTGTATCATGTTTGGATATACCTTAATTGCTGTGTGCGTTATAGAAAGTATCATCAAAATAGTACTATTTTTGGGGGGTCGAATCCAAAAAATCGACCTGAGCGTGCTCAGACTTGTTTGACGAAATCCCCTCAAAGTAGGTTTCTTGAAGAAAAAAAACTGTCAGGTAATCCATTATGATTGATTTCTAACACATCGGTTGTCTAGTACCGGCAGCTGCTTCGAATGGATTATACCAAAAGACTCTGGCCTTAAACTGACTCAAATGGATTGAAATAAAAGACCCGTGCTTTAAACTGATTCGAATGGATTGTACCAGAAGACCCCGGTCTTGTGCAGAGGTACGGACGAGGACTTTCTCACACGCTTTGAGGCCAATGTTGTCTCGGCAGTAGAAGACGAGCGTACAGAACAACCACGACGACTGCGTGACTCCAAATTTATTAAAGACGTGTCTTTTCCGGATGGATTTAAAAGCCACCATAGCACGCTACCTTCGTGGTACGATAGATATGAGTTCGCGATGCAGAAGGAGCTACTGAGATTGAAAACTTAGTATAAGAACATCACCTACGCGCTGAAGTAAATTTCAACTACAGTCCCAACAACAGAAAGGCAAAATCAGGCGCTACAGGGGGTTTAAGCAGAGCTTCTGGAGGATATCTGTTTGATACTATAGCTCAGACATATACAAGTGAACCATGAAAGTGAACCAGCCGCCCATTCGGGACACCAAATTTAGAATGGAAACGCTTACCAAGTACGCATACCAACCTCAACTTCAGAAGCTCTTCATGTCTGCTAGAAAAAAGCGGCACGAACTGTCAGTGGTGAGAGTGAGCACATACCGAAAGGCGAAAGAGGAAAATGGTGGGAGAGCAAACGCCTGAGCCACTTCAACTAAGGGTACGATCTAAACTCCCAGTATGGTGGGAAAGATATTTTGGATACGATTCGCTATGGGGGTCGGTCGAAATGGGGACCGACGGAGCCTACGCCGCCAAGCACAGCAGGCCGATGGATATCAATACTAGAGGTAACGTAAGAGATCAAAACGGCCGAATTGATCATATTGACAATAACTGATGCAATTCGAAAATTACAGGAGGCGGAGGCATACATGGTATACAATGCATTCATGGGTCCAAAGACATTCAATCAATGAACATGCTTATGACAAGGTACTTTAACGATAGGAGAGGGATCAGATGATGTCAGTAGCCTTCTCGGACGGCTTCTATTCGTTGTGATTTGCCGAGCCCAAGCTAACTCAACGGGCTGATGTTGTGTCCCTTCACGCATCCAATGGTGGCAATTTTTAGGGAAGTTACTTTCACTTACTAATGAACACAATTTGAAGAACATATCGGATCGCTCAACTACGGATAATGCTCTATATGGATGATCTGTTACTTTCGGCGGTCTATACGAAAGTATGAAACATTGGCAGTTTGTGAACGAAAAAGTAGGTTGTTTGAGATTGCGACTCGCGTAGAAAAGAAGACAACGATTGTTTCAAGAAACAATACTGACACATCTAGGTATAGTACTGAGTTTAGAGCCGAATCGAATATAGATGACAGCTGCCTCTGGCAGAAGGTTTGCCACCTGTCCGGGTTTTTTACAGCACCGCATTTGCAACCAGGGACAAATACCACTTTGATTTTGGCAGTCCTATCGGGTGTGTCTGCAGTGAGTAATATTCGTAATTCAAATTTGAAACCGTCATCGTCGAGATTTAGATGATGACGATCCGATACAATGAGAAGGTACGTGTGCCAGAAGCAACCTTCCGCAAGATGGAAAATGTTAAAACCTTTCTGACGGAAGTTGACAGTCGAGTGATTTGGTTGGCAGAACCAGAGTGAGATCTGACAGTAGATGTGTCCAAAATCGGGTATAGAGTGATACTTCACTTCCGACAGAGCAACAAGACACATACATTCGCGGAACTATGGACGAAGGGATAATAAAATGGCCAATATAGGTTCTGGAACTAGGAACACTCGTTCAGGCTCTTTTGTTCTTTCACAAGAAGAGGTTTGTTTCGAGTACGTCGGCACTGATGACGTTAACGGATTTCAGTCAATCTCACGGCAAACAAGTTGAGCCGAGCAGGTCATCTACTGTGGTTCACCTGAACAGTGCAAACAAAGCCTTCTAAATTCTATTAAGACTGGACACTGTCGACACCATCGAGCTAGGACGATCCATTTAGAAAGACTACAGGTCTCAGGCCAGATTTTACAGCAAGAAACCAACTTCCATTCATCAGAGTTAGCTCACTCCCGAGAGCTAAGTCATCAGAGTTAGCTCACTCCCGAGAGCTAATCAAGCTGCTTAAACTACTCCCAAGAGTTGAATTATTACTTAACCGACTTCCGAGAACAGATTAAGTTTCTCAACCGATTCCCAAAAGTGGATTAAGCCTGTCAACCGCAACATTCTAAAAATACCTGCGGTTTTATGTGAGTCACAACCTATGCGGAAAGGCATCATGTGATCAGCGTGGGATTTAGCTGCAGAGAAGTTGAAATAGAATAGCATCGAAGTGTTAAAGTGTTCTACATAAAGTTTCTCATACTGACCGTATGAGTTTTTACCCTGGCCAGCCCAAGCGGCTGAACACTAGCACAAACACCTTAGGTATAAAGCGAAAGGTGAGGTCAGAAACAAATACATACATTTGCACTTTATTTGAAGTCTACTACATTACAATCTAACTCTATTCCATGCAGAATATAACGCAAATCTGGTCCATCATGGAGACCCAGTATGCTTTCACAAACAGTGGGACCAGATATGACCTTTGATAAACCCACTGGAAACACTGGTGAGGAAAATGTTGGCGAAACTAGACGCGCAGTTGGCACCAGCCGTATCGATTGTGCCACTATGGAGCCGAGCTGTGAGGTGGAGCAATATGATGCAACTCGTGGTGCGAATGTAAGCCTTACCCATGGGATCAGTGCACTTCCTGAAGGCAATTGCTCAGGAGCTGCTCTGTCAATCGACACCATGGAGATTCGTAGCAGTACAGTACGATACTTGTATTTTCTCGGTGGACACTTCCAATATGTGTATCTGCACGATACCACCTCGTTTTGGGGAAGGAACTACAATAGAGGAGTTCATCGTTTCCAGAATTTTCGGTTCAATCAGAAGCAGGAGCCGAACCAGCCACCACAAACACAAAATGATCTTATATATTTCGTGGTGAAATACTGGGAGAATGAAGTCACTTTGTCCGAATGGCATACGTCAAATACGGCACGATCTGCTATCAACAAGTGGTGCTGGGTGTGCTGGGTGATGTCGTACCTGTTTTAGCAGTCGAACACTGGGATGCCAGAACACGTGGTTTCAAATTGAAAGAAGTGCAGAGAGGTGCGTGAATAGTTTTGAATAGTTATATATTAATGAATTGATACCCCCTTACGTCAATCTATCGCCCTCATTTCTAAACACTACGACAGGTACTTCAATACATATGTGAGAAGAACAGATGGAACAGAGAGGAGCGGAAGGCTCGGGAGTAGAACAGATTGTGTGAAGGACGTTCTGCTTCCTTGTTTTTGTATCTAGTGTATATAAAACAAGAAACAAGTTAGTTTTTTATTCATGAGAGGTTGTTCGATTATCTGCGGCGGAGAACTGCTAAAGAGCTGTTGTCGAGTCGCCCATAATAAGCACGAGTGCTTTGAAGGGATAACAGTTTTTTATGCCAAAATTGGAGTAGACATCGTATGATCGCTCAAAGTTGGAATACTGCAATTGTCCTCGTGTTCTCATTTACTGACCATCTCCAGAATAGTGTCCGGGTGTTTATGATCTTAAGATTCCGGTGCCGCCCCCCTTCAAACTTCGAACCATCAGTTGTTTTAGTGCTATAATTCTCGTATGGGGTGTGATTCTCAAAGGCATGTATTAATTTCGACAACTCCTTGGAAGCAGCCTGCGAAAGATGCTGTGTCCCCGTGTTGTTTGTGTTTGTGATGTCTGTGGTGGAATTTTTCTCTGCAGACACAAGTCCGCTAAATATGGCCGAGATGTGGGGACCACGATAAAAGTGGCTCATTTTACTAGACCTAGGCAGCTCTGCCACACTTTAAGACCGATCTATCTATGTTTCCCCAGGAGACGGTACGGAATTTGATCCGAGTTATTGTCAATCTGCGGCTGAACGCTATAGTGAGTCGGTATGTTCCTAATACTAGATGGATGTACACTCCCAAGTGTTTGATCTGGTTTATATACTGAATGTTCATCATATTTGCGCTTCTCCGGCTCTACTCGCAGCCCCAGTCAGTTGACTAGGATTTTACTACGGTTTCGATGAACTCGTAATACCGAAAAGTATCTTCGGCATTGTTAGAATGCAATGTAGTAGACTTTAAATAAAGTACAAATGTATATATTTATTTCTGGCCCTACCTTGGGTTTTATACTTAGGGTTAGGGTGTTTGTGCTAGTATTCAACCGCTTGGATGGTCCAGGGTAAAATCTTATATGGCCAGTATGAGAAACCTTCTGCAGAACACTTTTAACACTTCGATACTATTCTATTTCGACTTCTCTGCTACTTAATCTCACTCTGAACATACAATGCTTTGATTCACATAGGGGCACAACAACCATTTTTTACATTTGTGCGGTTAACAATCTTACTCAAGTTAAGGGAGTCGGTCAAGTAGATAAACCAAATCTCGGGAGTGAGTTAATAAGCTTGATTAGCTCCCGGAAGTGAGCTAACTCTAATGATTCTTATGAGTAATAGAGTTTTTGTGCTGTAAAACTGGTAATCTCTTAGAGTTTTTTAAGGGCAGCTACGTTGACATATTCCAATCCAATCTGATGCAATGGCTCGTATTCATTCTAGGTGATGCATTCACACGGTATATATCTGTACTTGTATACTCAATTATACTATTTTGATATCGAGTGTTTAACGATCGTGTTTGTGCTTCAAAACTGGTAATCTCTTAGATTTTTTTAAGGGCAGCTACGTTGACATAATTTAATTCAATCTGATGCAATGATTCGTACTCATTCTAGGTGATGCATTCACACGGATATATCTGTCCTTGTATACTCAATTATACTATATTAATATCGAGTGTTTAACCATCGCGTTTTGTCTCTATTGATAGCGATTTTTCTATGAGAGGGAGATGTCTTGTTCGGTTACACACATATAACTTCGCGACCTCACCAAACACACACATATTCACTGCGCACGTGCACTCGTTTTAAATAGACAAAAAGCACGGATCAGGGCACAAACCTGGCCCCTTGCCTAATATATCTATTACTACCATGGTCACGCCCTCAAACTCGGGTATCGATGACCTGTTCGGTTTACTCTCAGACTCATATACAGAAACTACTAGCTTTAACCCGGCATCTCCCAATATCATAACAACTCCTGCCCCTACATAAGCCTTTGCAGCTGAAATCCCTAATGTAAACACTCATTAGATCCTCCACCAACCCGGTGCTGGACACATAACCATCAACCGTTATCCCACTACAATGACATATGATGAATATAATCGTAGAAATGATGGACAACGTAGGCGAGCACTAAAACTAAAAATGATAGCACCCAAAGACAACGTTATTTTAACATATACTCATCCACCGTCGGTTGCCACTGAGAGATGATTATCAAAAGATATTCAGACACGTAACGTCACAATTGATTTCCAGCCTACTATTTATATTTACAGCAACAGATAATAACTAAATACTAGGTTTTGCGTGAAACAGTTAATGACTTCCGAAAGGTGAATCTCTTACTGAAACGATGATACGAAAATTCACAACGTTGGAGGGGAAATAGTAAAAGTTTTCATTCTCAATACCACCAGAAAAAAAAGAGTCTATCCTTGTTTCATTTATACGCCCACTCGCAAAATGGTGGGCATCATTCATCCAGCCGATACAGTGTAAATTGATACAACTTTCTTATATCAGGAACCATCACGTTTGGAAAACCCTCGTGGATATATATACACTACTTGTTGAAATAGGTTCACTACGTATATCTGTTGCTCCGGGATCCAATTTACAAGCAACAACAGCATTTGCCCGTGTACATCCAAAATTCAAAAGATTGCAAATCGTATATTGGAGAAGATTTGAAACGCAAGGCAGTCATCATCCTTAATACACGTTTATGGCCCAGTTGAATGATTCCATGTCGATCTGTAGGGTTCGATGCCACCAGGCTTTGGTAACGAACACATCATGGACATTGAATATGTGATAGTACAAGATATGGTATCAAATTCGCATCATAAGCAGACGAATATATCTAACCGCCTTAAATCACTGTGACAGTTTAAGTACCAGCCCTCTGTAACTCTCACACGATGATAGCTAACATCGACAGAGCATTCCAGAGTGCTGCAACACGTGGCCATGTTGTTCGACCGTAATATACATACTCCATAACTCAACGGCAACGGCAATGTTGAAAAAGTACATGACAACACCATCACACGAGCACTGATTGCTGACGTGAACAGTCCGGGCTGATATTATTCGCAACAAAAATCTCGCCAAAGACGAACGATTGAACTTACCATCTCACAAATGACATCAACAACAAGTCACACGTTACGAACGAGCACACGATTACATTGTAGCATTTTATTTCAAGGTAAGCTTAGCTAAACAAATATTTGTTTTTGATAAATGATGCTCGTCTTGGACTTGTCCATCACTGCACTCAAAATACATGAGACATATGAAAAATCTTTGCCACATAGCAGATACGAAACTCACGCAACGTATAACTTTCTGGAATCAGCGTCTTTAATGAAGTTTTGACGGCAAACGAGCAACAATCTATGATACGTCTTCCTTCGTTGACATTCCAGAAGACTGGCGTACAACAAGCAGCTCTACAATAACAATTATTGCACATGCTCCTAAAACACCGCCTAATGTTGGCATCGAGCCACGCCCGTCGTTTCAAAGTTGGATCAAACACCCTATATACACGTAACCAGTGAATGCACTGATAAACGGATCAAATTCATTTCCCACACCACCACATATATCTTCAGCACATGTTTTAGAACGATCTATCATCTCTGCGCGTCAGAGTCTGCAGCAACCAGATGGCAGTAAATCAGCAATCTCTCAAGGTACACCAGCAGCCACATTTTCGATTCTACTCAACTCAAATTTGCTGAGTATATGACAACAAGACGAGCCAAACGCCAAAATCAAGACGTATCACTCAACGGTACACTTCGAGAGATTTCACGCGCCAATAATTTTTCGACACTCGCACATATCAACTCTCCCCAATTTACAACATCGAACGCATTAAACTATCTCATCAAGTGATGATGTGAATGATGACATACAAGACAATGTATGACGCACGAACAGCACCTAATCTAACAGCCTTCGCTCCGAGGTCAGATACAACTTTTCACTCCACTTCTACTGCGCGCATAATTAGATCACCCTCTCCGTCACTCACACTCTTAGAAACGTCCGTACTACTTGAATACATACTTGAGTCCGCACTACTTTCCTCGTGTTGTAGTACAAACTCAGAAAACACCTGAATGGCCACACGGCAGGCAGTTAATCTCAAACACCCCCTGCAGACATTGTTCATATATCTATGTTCACTTTAAATAATATCTCATTCGCAAACATGGTTGTACCTCCTGGTGACCAGCAGGAAGTAGGAGAATCCTACTGGGAAATATACACATTAACATCAACCACACTACACATTCGAAAGCTTATCTTTACTCTAAATTAGATAAAGCAGTACACATGCACCCACCCCACCTATCAAGGTGTTTAGGAACGAGACCAATTTCCTCCAAATACTGTGCCAAAACTCAAGTATATCGACATCTCTAGAATATGAATTGCCGCTCATGTTACCAAACTTTACTTTACACAATCCGACGCTGATGAAAGCATCTGGTGCCACAAAGCTATTAAAATCGTAAACCTTCTATATGAGGATGACGCAGTACGGTTGGCAGTGGGAAAATCAGGCAAAAGTAAATGACTTCTCATGGAATTAAAAAACAACAACAACTCTTAAACATTCGAAATCACACACACGTCACTATAGACCAACGTCTTTATATGAACAATATACCCCATACACTTACGCTCTCCGGTCAGTCGTCAAACAAAAATCATGGAACACCAATCTACCTAGCAGATTCTACCAGCACACCGTATATTGGCAAAAAGTAATATTAACTTCTCGGTACTTAAGGTTTCGCAATTAACAATAAGCGAGTTGACATTGCCACCACAATAAATCAACTTGCAGCATTTGCTACAGCAACATTATAAGACCATGCTGAAGTACTAGACCACATACTGCTCTACCTTTATGACACTATTCAATACAATCTTACATACCGTCAGGAAACGCACAATCGAACAGTAGATTTCGCCATAGCTATTTACACAGATAGTGACTAGGCTGGTGATCCTGACTGCCGGCGTATCAGTTTCAACGACATTCCATGAACATATAGCAGTATTTGAAACAATATGAATGTTGCATGGAAACAAAATATTGCGCTCGCACTAGGTTACATATAATCACTTCCTGCCATATTACACTGTGACAAACTAAGTGCTATAGAAATAGCATAATGCACGGGCACTCCTAAAAGACTAGTCCACTTAGACATACACGCACACTACATTCGCGATTGTGTGCACACGAAAATGGCCAATATAGACTATATCGCCGCACCCAACAGTCCTGCAGATCTATTAACAAAGGGCTGCATGTTAAAAATTATTCTTTCTCTTCGTTTTGTTTTTCGCTTCAAGAGAGGTTTCACACCCCATCAAGTCTCAAGTATGATCTTTATAGTTGAAACTCGAAACAAAGTTTAAGCCATTTTAAAGCATAATTTTGCTCAGCGACCAGCTTATCTACTCACAGCAATCAAAATAGTAGTGTACATGTGACCCACAAACAACTCTTTTATACTTATATTTGAATTTCATGGATCATATTCAACATTAGAGTTTTTTCAGTTGGCTATGCATAAATAATCTACTATTTTGTGAATAAAGGGTTCTCGTTTCATTACCAAGACCGTCTGGCTGACTGCTCGTGTCTATGAGGAATGGGGCCCGAGAGCAGTTGCCGGTTGAGGTTGCTCTGATTGCTTTATTTTGTTTCGTTTTGTTTGTGGTTTATATGTACTTCATATCACTTTATTTACAGCAGTACATACATACATTCAGGATGAACTATCAATTAATCGAATACGTTGGTAAGGTAAGCTATCCAAAAATATGTGATGAAGGTCGATTGGTAATTTTAGGAATACGTGGGTTTTCAAAGTACATATATAGGAAGTGAACCAATATAGGACAGTACGTCGGTATGATACCTAACGAATTAAAGGTATGCGGAGTAGGTTGATTTTTAATTTATAGGTACATATCGTCTATGGAGTAGATTTTAGGGAAGATACAGTAATTTAGACTCTGAGAGATGATATGCAACTTCCTCCATGCTCCGTTTGATGAGTATACTGGTTGGGTTGCCGTTCTAAAAGACAGAGGGTTAAAGGAGCAGGTAATTTGGACGAGTACGAAATAGGTCTTGCTACCTCTATGGAAATTATTAGTTGAGGTTTATGGTGTCCCTGCTATAGAACTGGAGGAGGGACGACCCAAGGAATAAGACGAGAGGAAGCGATCCGGTAGAATGGCAAGCAGGAGAGCTATATGATTCTGGAGTGGAGGGCGCGGATGGGCAACAGATGGCCGCATATTGTCGTTGAAGGGCCGGGCCTGAGATTTACAAAATTGTCCTCCGGAATCTAGACAGCGCTGAAATGGGGTATCTCGGGTAGATTCGTTGGGAAGAGGGAGGGAGTGTATGTGAGGCTGTGTGGCTAGCACATTGGTATTATGCATGAGTTACAGTATGGGGTTTGCAAAGGCTGCAAAGGATATGCCAGTTCGATCTGGTATACTGGGGGAGGGTAGGAGGCATCTGTTTGGGAGTGGATTGTTAATAAGCAGGTCTCTGAGAATTGATGTATAAAGTAACGAAAAATGTATATATACCAGGAACCTGGCTGACCAAGTCACCCTGAATCCTCTTTTTGGAAGCTGGAAGTATATGCGTTCTCTTGTATCTATTTAGAGCGCTCTTTAGCACTCGCAGGAAAGTATATCTTTACAAAAAGAGAAAAATACACTTGTACATCGGAACTTCATTAAATCATTTCGTCAGCGACTTCGCATCTCTCATTGTCACGAATTCTTTCCGTAATTGTTCAGACCTGAAACCATCTTTGGCCTCAAGTATATGACGCACACTTTTACACGCTTGTTTATGCATGCACTTGACTTGACTGAGTATCTCAACCAAACAATGGCTAGATCTGATTGACCTCATCTACATATAGGTAATTTATTATCGGATGGTTTAAATTTTAAAATATGGACCGTTGTTTCTGAGGACCGTATAATGAACGCCACGATACTGGGGCGCGCCACTGCACCTCAGTATTAGAGTCGGAACTAGCATCTATAATCCTGTAAAGCTCTTTAGCGAGAAATATACTGTCCGGTACATTGTCACCCTCGGAACAGAAGAGGATCTGGAATAAGAAAAAAAATTCAGCAAATCAGACATTCACACTTGGTCGAAAGGCGGTAGCAGAAATGGACAAACGAATTGTAATCGCACAAAAGAACCACAACCTGACCCTTCTTTTGTACGGATTCGAAGTATGTTTCACTTGCCCTCAACATGTATAAGTCCGCGTCGGCACGAATTTGCCTGTCTGCTACTCATTGCAGGTGCCGATTTTTACATACATACAAACATAATCGAAAGGATACCGAGTAGTTTGCATCCATACGATAAATGTTCCCCAAAATGAACACATACAAACATACAATTTATACACTTGCTCTCATGAGCATATAAAGAAATGATACAAGTAAATTCACTCGACGAATGCCGAGGTCGTGTACCATGCTTTCTGAAGCTACTTCGATCCTGCGCATCATTCCAATATTATCCGCAAATTAACTAACGGTAGAGGCAATTGAAGGTACACCTCGCCAAGCTAACACGGGATATGCAAATACGGCTTAAGGCTTGTGAGGTACACGAAGTCCGTAGGACCAGCGAAAAAAAACACCGATCATCACAAATTCGTGTACTTGTATCTCTCGCTCATCAACAACGACAATCCGAGATATGTGACAAATGTGAGCCGGTGTGTTCTGAGCTTTCACATCGCCACAACTTTCGGGATACGACGACTGCTCTCTAACCGCGTGGGGAAAACTACATATGTAACTTGAAAGGACATTACTCTAAATTGTACTTCACCACAGAGACATACATTTCTAGGGGTATCGTCGCCAGAAATGAGTATCGTCTTCACCTCGTATGAACAATACAGCACCTCATACAGCTTGATCGCGCTACCATACTAAGCATTTATAATTTGAGATCACACCAATTCTCAAGACCCCAATTTTACGTCTCTATCGCCCCCCCAGAGAAGCTGAAGATATCGTTTTTACCTCGCATGCGTTCTACAGCATATGTCTAATTACACCATCATATGATACACTCATGACTCGCAATCACATCACCGCTTGAGGGCCTCATTGTATATCTACCTCACCAAAAAGAACTACTAACGGCGTACTTTCACCTCGCCTGTGTGCTGCAGTAATCCGGCATAGCCTACATTTATACCACCACATAGTGCACATATGGCTCCCAATCACACAAAACCCTTGAAGTCCCATTGCGCGCCTCTCCCACTTACCAATGTTACTAAAGGTATCGTCTTCTCCTCACATGCGTCATAAAGCGACCTGGTCAAGCCACCTCCAGTCACACGTTGTTTCTCCAAACGGGCTCGCTCCTCAGCCATAAGATATGGGGCCGAACTGGATACAGGAGCCCACGGTTGCCACCCGAACTGGGCGAAGTTGTTGGTAATATCCTGGTGCTGATTTCCCACATATCTCAGAGACGCACTGCATAATGAAGGAAGTTCGGGACAGGAAGGCTAAGCCAACAGTACGAGAGACAGTAGTAGAGTCAAACACAAGAGTAATTTTTATATGATATTTGATAGGAACGCATTCAGGTTAAATAAAGGACAATCTTGATGGATCATCCCAATGTTAAGTACTACATACAAAACCCGAAGTAATAGATGCAGTAGAAAGCCACTAGCGCTCACTGAGCTTTCTACAGAGGACGCACCACCGCTTTGAGGCGTGGAGTGAATCGGTTGTGGTGGCACATAGATGTAGGGAGTATGCGCACTGATGTTGTTCGTGACAGTTCGCACGTGTGCAGCCTGCCAAATGCTTTGTGTGGTGGTAAGCCGATCAATTGGTCCACAGTACATATGCACTTTCTGTTGGCATATCGAGGATGCTTTACGCCGTACATAATCCCACCACATCTTCGAATGTCTACACAGCTGCACACGTTCTCTGCATACACCCCAAAGCTTACAACTAAACAACATCCGTCACTCTCAACCCAATACACAAACGTAATGTTCAAATCGCAAAAACAACACAGTCCCAATCACCCTCAATGAATATCTACATGTCTAGGTTGTACTAACAGGTTTAAATATGATGACAATAGGCCCACAACTGATCACACAGTAACACAGTACCAGCTATTTCACCAGAAATTTCAGTACTTGTTCAACACACCTATTTGCAAGCATGGTGTTGTCGCCACTGTTATTGGCGTCACTGCTAGTCAGGAGGACTACAGAGCCAAAGTTCGCCGCGGTTATCCATTCAGTCATTCTGTCGGCCAAGTGTCTTCGTTGAGACTGTGTCAGAAATGGTTTAACAATTGTGAGGATTGGGTTGTAAGAATACCGGAACAGGTCAATCAAGTTAGGCTTAGGTATACTGATACACGCGGGCCATAAGACTTGCTGGAGATAAAGCTTTATAGTATATTCAGGGGTTGGTAACTATCAGGGTAAGTTATCGTGACTTGAATGAAAAAGCGGGGCTTCTACATTTGTACACAACTCATTGATGTATATACATAGGACAATAACCAATACATTGGATGTTGCGACTTCAAGTCGCATATTAAATTAGGGAGATACACGTCGACCAAGTAAACAGGGTCGCCATCCATTGCCAGCATCAGTACGAAGAGAAGAACTCACAGAGATTACACCTAAATTCATTAACTCGTGCCCTCAAAAATTAAACTAGCTATCCGAAACATACCGCGAACACATATCAAACAACACACCTTGATAGCTGGAGATCTTTGTTGTATAATCGCCAATTGTTTCTCTTCGCACATGTACACTGTGAGTAAGAAGTTCGTAATAGTCAGCGTACAGAGTAAGCGGCAGTCGACAAATTAGTGCAGACGTGCGTGTTGGATTTTATATTGACTAGACAAGTTTTCCCACACTTTTGAATGAAATATGGTAAAACTTTGTAGCACCTCAAAACAGACTACCTCACAGCGCACCATACAATTGTATAATGCTAAACCAGGCCATCGATAATGCCAAACCAGGCCATAGATAATGCCAAACCAGGCCATAGATAATGCCAAACCAGGCCAACGATAACGCTAAACCAGGCCATCAATAATGCTAAACCAGGCCATCGATAATGCTAAACCAGGCCATCGATAATGCTAAACCAGGCCATCGGGAAAGTATATCGTGATCCAAGTGCAATGATATGAATAGCGGTGTTACTTACCATCCGCACTAGTCGTGGAGTTATGGCCACTTTCACTGTACGCGTCACATCCAAACACGGGTAGCAGCGCCCGATCGTGCAAGAACCCGACCCGTTTAGGGGCGAGGGTGCTAATTAATAGATCAACAGTTAATTGAGGTACATTGCCTATCGACACAGCCGGCTGCCAGTAAGATAGAAAGCACCATATTGAAAAGTAAGGTAAAATAATCTGGTTATAGATGGGAAAGAAACGATATACAATGCAGCCTAACGGAATCTTGAATATGGCTGTCAACACACATACAAGGGGAGCTCAATATAAATATAAATATATATATAGATATAGATATAATACATTAACATACACACACACACGCATACATACACCACACACACACACAGACACAAACACACAGACATACACACACATTTATATATATATATATATATATATATATATATATACGGATATATGGATTCATATAAATATACAAACACACATATTTATAAATATAAATAAAAATATAATATTTGTATACAGATTTACCAAAACATATAGTCACATACACAGACCACATTTATATATATATATATATTTATATATATGTATATACAAATATACATACATACATACATACATACATACATACATCCATATATATATATATATATATATATATACCTATGCACATACACACACACACACACATATATATATATGTATGCACATACACTGACACACACATACACACAGACAAACAAATATATATATACATATATATATTCATACACACACACACATATATATATATATACACATACCAATACATATACACACACAAACACACACACACACACACATATACATACATACTAATATATATATATATATATACATATATATATATATATATATATATATATACATACATACATATATATATATCCTTATATCCATACCAATACATACACACACACACACACACACGCACACACGCACACCCACGCACACGCACACGCACACATATATATGTATATTATAAAAACTACACATATATATCTATACTTACAAATACACACACACACACACACACACACATATATATATATATATATATACATATACATATATATATACACACACACATATATATATATATATACACACACATATATATATATACATATACATATGCATATATATGTATGTACATATACATGTATATATATATGTATAAATA